TGAGCGAAATAAAAAAAAAAAAAAAAAAAAAAAAAAAGGCAAACCAGTTTGCTTTCAGGTTCACTGTTATCCGAAACCAGATCCAATTGTCGGTTCTTGAGTTCGGAGAAATCAAATTTCTATTTCTGTGGATATGGACTGAATAGGCAATACGAGTTCATTTGATCCAGGTAGCATTGTCCACCCTTAATTCTAACATGCCGAATGGCGCTTATGTCAAATGCTTATTTGCTGTGGTATTTTGCCATTCTAAATATGAGAAAAATGTGAAATTGACGATATACACTTGTAAATGGACCAAAATTGGTCAATGTTATGTATTATTTTGCTTACACATCTGATTACTGATTCAAAAATCATGAAAGAAACACCTCTCTTCACTCTATACTATATTCTCTGCGTGAATGTGTATTTAAGCAATGAATATGTTTGTACTTTATCTTTTTTAATTTTTTATCAAGTTATGAACTTGAGGGAAATTGATCTCAAATTGGCTGGTGGGTCATATAATACCATTTAAATTTTGTTGCAACTATCCTTGGATTTTTGTCGGTCATCGGCTCTGCAATTTGTTCCTTTTTTAACCTTTTTCGGTTACTTCATTAAATTTATTTATTGGGTTGCCTCTTGGTTTGCTATTAAAAATACTCCTATCAGTTTCCTAGCTATTTCATCGTGCAACGTTCTTTTAATGTTCCCAAGCCCAAATCATTTATATTGTTCTTGTTAGATATTTTTCATCATTTTGCATGTATTTATTTTTTGTTTTGCGAATGATTTGCCGCCCCGAATAGTGTTTGTCGCTGCGCAACGGGATGTGTTCTTCATTTCAAGGGACACACCTATTCAAACAGTTGCCTCAATTTCTATAAATTCTGGGCGAATTTTCGTTTACAAAACATTAAAAAATATTCTTCTCTCTTTCTCTTGGCATCATTAGTTTTTTTTTTTCGAGTGTCTTCTTAGTTTAATCAAATAGTCACAATTTGAATCAAACGCCTCCATTGTATCCTGAGAGAGATTTTCTATCATACCCCAGTCGTGACTTCGTTGGATAGGGAAGAAATATCTCTTAAAAGATAACGTTTTTCGTGCCTTGGAGTTCATTAAGTTTTCAGATTTTTCTACATTTTTCTCAACAGTTCTCACTGCTTATTAACCTGTAGTATTATTTAAAAAAATAAGTAAAATATGAAGCTAAAATTCATTGGTAATTACAGTGATAGACTTGCAACATTCAGAGCTGGAAATAAATGATTGTAAGGACATTTTTCTATCTGTAGGATTAAGTTGCCAACCATTTACTATTTGGAACTCCTGCAAGCATTCAAGCAGAAGGAAAGCAAGAGCCCCAAGTGTGATATATCATTTAGGCAAATTTTAGAAGGTCTATTAATCAACATCAAGACATAAATCCATATAAACTTGTGAACATTTATCCAGAGATAGAAGTGAAATAAAACTAGTGCAACAAAAATCAACATGTTTGTTATTTCCGTTCTCTGCGGTGCAATGTTATATGTTTGCTATTTAGGTTTTGTATGTATGCCAAGGTTATATTCCTCAATCCTGTCAAAAATTTAGGTAAGCCTTCTTGATTATGTGATGTGATTTTCTTATGTTTGAACATCTGAAACTTAAATAGAACTAATTATAAAGTGTAATTGTCTTTAAAATTTTATTACAACTTGATTTTCTTGCAATATGTGACTACTTAAACACGGATTTAAGTTAATTAGTATGTTCTTGAAATTATTTCAGTCTTGTGACTTAAATGTCATCTGGCTTTACAAAGGCTCAATTAGTGTTTTAGTCAATTTACTATAATTTTAATTTGGCCAGTGAATTTACATGATTATGAGTTGGAATTGTTAGCTTTACTCTATATTGGAGAACTAGAAAATCCTCAAAGCTAATAACAAAACAACATATCTATGGTAGAAATTGTACAATGTTGGTAGTGAGAAAGTTATTATTCCTTTAAAAATCTTGAAATTGTAGCTCTAACTAGCACTAATACAAATCTTTTATTCTTATTAATCAGTTATTCAAAGTATAATATATGAAATGGGGAGATTTTCTCAAGCATTTAAATTTTGATGAGTTCAAGTTATAGGACAAAATGTGGTAAATAAAAAAAAAAAGGGTACTTATTTGTCCCTATTTTTGTGACACCTTTTTGACTACCAATTTTACCACAATGTATATTTGAGAATTTAATTGTCTAAGGTTATAACTGTAATGAGTAAATGGAGAATTGGTTCTGTCTTACAGTCTGTTTCAATCATTTCTCTCACATTCAACAAAATGACAAGATCTCTTGATTTTTGATCTAGTTTGCAAAGGTGATTATTCTTCAGCGATTATATTTTGTGAAGAATACTTTGTGAATATACCGGTTGATGTGATACAGGAGGGTCCGAATCAAGCGCTGTTGAGTTGTCATATAGCATGTTGTTGGAGCTAAGTTACCATGAGTTGGCAGATTGGCGCAAAGATTACAAGTGATTGCAATCTTTTTCTAATAGGGGCAGTTTTGAACATATTTTGATAATTTGACCATAACTTTGACTACGGTTATCAAAATTGCAATTATGATCCCAATTTGAAAAGCTCTTTTCGACGCGCACATCGTAGTCACCAGCTACGCTCGATGGACATCGTTTTTAGGCCAAAATTCACTATTTTCCCTTCCGAATTTCCACTTTTAGTTATTTTTTCCATTTTTGTTAATATTTCGTTTGTCGTTTTCTTGATGATTATGAACTCGATTTAAGCCAAACTTTTGAAAAGTTACTTCTTTTATTACGTAGTTTATTTTGGTATGATTAT